CTATACCGACGCCTTCCTCGCGCGCCCCCCGCGGCCCCCCCCGCCCCGCCCCGGCCCGCTCGCCCTCCGCCCGCTCGGTGGGGGGGGGGGGCCCCCGAGGGGGGTGAATGGAGGTTTTGTTTTTGTGTTCCCCAGGTTTCGTTCGACATGCCAGCAATGAGGTGTGGCAGAAACCGGCACCGAGACAGATACCGGTTCACTTTATCGTGTTTATTTTTTTTTTTTTAGTCGTGCAGCATCGTTTAATGATGTTGATGATGACGATGCTGCTGTGTTTCCCCAACAGGGAAGAGAGCTCGAACTCCTTCCTAACCTGTATGCTTACGGGCGGAACGGGTTGAAGCCCCGGGGGTTGATGGAGGGGATGACAGGTTGCGAGTAAATAACAAAAAAAAGGGGGGAAGGGGCGTGAAGGAGGCTTGCAGTTAATAATTAAGTGTACATACCTAACTACGGTTTTAACAACCTCCCCCACTTAAAGGAAATAATCTTCAATTAAGAGAGTAGAAAGTAAAGCTGGATTAGAGGGAGGAGCTTTGAGACCACCCGTAATAAAGAAAACAGTGGACGAAGAGGAAAGGTGAAAGCTACTGTGTCGAACTAGTTGAGAAATGAACGTGAGAAGCCACCTGGGTAAATAAAATACTATAAGCCAGTGCCTATATACGCTAGGGAGTCGGATATGGGCGCTCCTCAAGCAAATTGATCACTCCTATTTACTATGCAAGAGCCTGGAGGGTAGAGCATACTAGACCTATTTGCCAACAACACTAGGTTCGGCAAATATATTGAAGAAATACGTTGATAACAGCACTTAGAAGGCTTGTCTTTTTATCACAACTCATACTTTAAGTCAAATATGTGTCTAGATATCCTAGTAACTGTCGGATAAGGTTGGGTCCTTATACCTTTCTTCATAATTAAACCCCTATGTTACTTTGACCTTGGCATTTCAACGCGCTTTGATATATTATATTTTAGGGATAAATTAGTACATCTTATTGCAGCAATATGACAGAGTTTCAAATCAAGACAGGATTGCTATCGAATGTTCATAGTAATATAGAAATACGAAATATAGTAGAGACTACAGACTTGATAAAGTTTTCGCTTCATGGGCACATCCCCGAAATAGCTCTTTAGCTGTCCCCTAACATACATGCTTGCGTTATGGACTGGAGACGCCCAAGTACCCCCTCACATGTGTACGTAGACCAAAAAAAAAAAAAAACCCCTGGTATGGCCTTTGAAAAGATAGTGCCAGGAAGCTAAAAAGAAATGTACTGATCCGACTCAGGCTCGAACTGAGGACCTTGAGTGTGTTAGACTCATGTGATAACCAACTACACCATCGGACCAATTATATCAAAGCATGACGCTAACTTAGTTTATACAACAATAACAAAAGCAGAGGCTTTTGCCCTGTGCGGGATCCGCCTTGTATACATAGTGTAGCGCTAATGGGTTGGTTGATGAGGCGGAATGCGCTTAATATGAGGCATAGAGTTGTACCCGGCGAAGAGCCAATTCTGATATGGAAAGATTATTGGATCAATCAAAAAATACCTAATAGGGAAAAGAAAATGACCCTGAGGTTGGGCAAGAGGAACAGACTAGTTGTGGCTGAAGATAATTAGGCCAGTTCTCTTCTAAGTTAAATGAGGAACTGTCCATGAGGTTTAAGTAAACTTTAGCAATCAGCTGTTTTTTCAGCCATGAAAGTTGTCTATGAGAAATTGTACGATGTTGCTTCAAGAAGAAGAAAGAAAGAACTATCGAAGATCAGATAATCGAAAAGTTAGCTATGTGTAAGGGGTTTCGCTATAGAAATGAGAAATTCTGAGACGGTACCACAATACCTATAATACGGCTACACAATGGGATCATATGGGAATTCCCACGAAAAGTTCTTATGGGAAGTCATGGGAGAAAAGGCTATGGAAAGTTATAGGGATTTTTTTAATGGTATAGGAAACCATGGTGATTTTTATTACATTGGTAAGATTTCATGAGAACTCAGAGATTTCCCACGGATTCTCATGGAAGCATATGAGAAATGGGTAACTTCAAATAGCATGAGAATGTATAGCCCTAAATACATGGGGTTTTGAAAGAAGAGAACCATCTTTTAGATTCCATAATCTCTTAGAATTGTAACTTAACTATCTCCTGCTTGGTCTGTGGAGATAAAGCCTGGATAGGTAGTTATCTAGCTCAGGCTCGATTCGACATCAACCTAAAACACGTATCTCAGGAAGCACTGAGGTTTATAGCTACTCGGAAGGACTACGATAGGACTATATCTATTTGGAAATATTTCCCCGTCCATTTAAAGTACATTTAGTTCTATTAATTAACTGTTCTGGAGGAATGTGAAAATATATCGGCATCATATGCTTAAGTCTCATAGATTTTGCTACTTAGTATATGATGCAATTCTTCCATAATTAGGTAAACGACTTGACAGAGTTTGTGAAGAGGTAGGCGTTGAAAGATCGTCTAATGACATTCTATACAGAGCTTGACTTTGCCGGAGCCAAGCCCCGAGGAGAGTCGCGGGTCTCTGGCAAATTGCACAGAGAACATCGGGGGGTGATGTCGGGGTTGAATATCCGTTGATCAGCCTTGTGCAGCGGGCCCCTTGATACAAATGGATCAGGCGCATACTTTCTCCTGGCCCCTGGAGTCGGCATCCTGACTGAGCCCGGTTCCATGGTTCTTCGTACGCGGAGCTTATCCCCATGGAGAAGCAATGCCGCCGGCGTGAACGCCGTCGGACAATTCGGAATCTAATCAGCAAATTCCGTGGAAGTAGAATGCGGTGCTATATCCGAATGTTTGAGATCCTGCCCGCTGTGTATAGCTTTGCCCAAATAGGGAATTGCTGACGAGTGAAGCGGGCCTGTATACCTCCCCACCCCCCTTTTCCCCACGATGACGGAATTGGTGGCCGATTGGATGTAGCATGTATACAATCAATGCATAGTCAACGTGTAAGCAGGTATTTCGGTTATATTCTACCGAACATCGTGATGGGTGGCGATCGACGTCACTATTGGCGTTGGCAGCTAGTCAAGCTTTTGGTTACGGAAGGTTCTGTGGCTTGGCCTAGATCACGCATAATGCTTTAAGTGATTCTTGATGTTGCGAATATAGTATTGTTTTCCCTTTTTGTTTGCCTTTTCTTCCTAATGATGACAATGTAATGGCTTCATAAAAGTGAACATAATCAAGCGTAACACTTCTCGTTGATAGCACCTTTCCCGGTCTCCTCAAAAAACTGATAACTATATAACAGGTAAGAAGCGTGAGCCCCTATCGCAAAACCGACAATGCCCAATCTTAGCCAACGCCGTTGTTAATCCCTTTTTTTAAATGCCTCTGAAGTCTCCTACTTCAGTAGTACTGTTCGAAACTGATAGAGCCTGGAGCGTCGTCATATGCGGTGAAAGTAACTTGCTCGTAGCCCTCATGCCTTTGACATGCATCATGATATCCATATGTACGCACCTATAACTCCTATCCGAATGATGCAGGGGTCGTTTACCGTTCTTGGGTGCCATCCAGCCCTCCCTGTTGGACAAGCGACGAAGCTGGATGCACATCTGAGAACATCCCGTTACTAGCCCGGATTGTCCAGCGACAACGACATAGGATCTCTTAAGACATCGGCTGTGCTGCTAGTTCGTGCGGAGTCGCATTAGGCTCCCTTACCATTGCAAATAACTTAATGGCATCGCCATTGTCATCGCACTTCAATTCCTTGACAAACTGGAAACCGAAGCGACGATATATTTGCATGTTGGGCACCTCCCGACTGGATTCGAGATAGCAGCTCATATTCTCCTTGTCGGCCCGGTCGGTGACGGCCTTCATCAAAAGTCTTCCTATGCCTTTGCCCTGGGCTTTCGGCAGGACGACCATGATATTGAGAAAGTAGTAACCTCGGGGGTCCGTCCAGACTGCTCTTTGCACCTCCTCCTGAGCTTCTTTCCAAATGTAATAGCGCTGGATGTCATTCCAAGTTAGCGGACTCATGCAAGAAAAGGTTGCAGTGTAGGAAGAGAGGTGGTGAGGACAAGTTGCCGTGATCGCCAGACTGACACGGGTGCTGAAACGGGCTAGACACTCAAGGAGGTGCGGACAATCCCAGAAGACAGCCTCCTTGGTTTTCTCTTCCCACCCGCTTGGCAAGAAAAAACGCTCTTCACAGTTCAAGCTTACAGAATAAGCCTGCCGTTCAGCCGGTCGATCAAAGGCTTGTCTCGCACGGGAAATTTCTCAGCAAATCCTAGTTCAGCTTACCTTCACATCCAGACCGCCCCGACCGTAGTATATATTCATTCCCAGCTGGTTCAGCCAAAGCCGCCAGCCCTCAAACCAATCGTGCCAGCTTTGCGACCTTTCTCTCCCGTGCGGTTTCAACCAGCACGCGACACCAAGGACCTCGTCGCTTCCCTTCTCCTTGACGACATGGAAGATTCCGTTCCGCATCCCCCACCGGCACCGGATTGCCAAAGATGCGGCATTGCGCCAGTGGTCAAACTACACAGGCGCAGATGTTAGTATGAGGGGCATCTTGGTACATAGCACTAAGGGAAGTTTCTATGGGTCCTCAGTGGGACAGTAGAAAGAGCAGAGATAATATTCTGCCCATTAAAACGACTTAGAAATTTTTTAGACAAGGAAAATCAACGTAGATTTTCTGGGAAGGAGACCCGATGTGAGAGAGAGAGCGCACGAGCTATCAAAACTCCACATGATTGCGAATCCTTTCGTACGCTATATGTGATCTCTCTATGCCTTGATGACGGGGTTTGAATCTTGTGAAGACTTTCTTGCCTATTTACGATCTTGTAGTGCCGAGATGCCGGTCGAGCTGAACATTCCGCCAAGACTTTCCAGAAAAGAAAGAGGGAAAAAAAAGAGGGTGTATAGCAAGGGGGGAGAACACCAGAATCGCTCACCTCAGTCTTGTCAAAAACCCAGTTGTTGTAAGGATCGTCGGCAAATGCTTCTCTGAGCCAGGGGGTTAGTTTGTCTTAGCATAAACAAGCAAGAAAGCTTAACGGAATGGTAACCCCGGACACGAAGCGAAACACCGTCGGTACTTTTTCTCTTTCAGTATTCACCCTGAGTGTCGCATCCCAGGCGACAGACAGGGCCATACACATAGAGTTATTCCCGATGGTAGATATTCGGAGCGGCTATGTAGATGTAGACGTGCGTAATGGGGAGGCCTCGAGGAGAGTGCAGAACAAGAAGATAGGTATGATACTTACTGAATTGCCCTTACAGCGCCGGGGATGTCTCGTTCGGTCAGTCTATAGACTCGGTATGCCATGGTGGGTAATACGACGTCAGGATGTTTTTTCTTCTTTTCTCTCCCTCAGGCGTTATTATCCCCCGTGTTTTTCTTTTCCTTCCACCCAACTCGGTCTCCAAGTATGGGATTCTTTGAATTGTGATATGAATTTTTTACGACTACCGAGCTTTACCGCAGGTTTATAAAATTTCGGTATGGCTGGATATCAGGTACATATATAGAGGCTATTGGCGCCACCTCGGGCCAGACCGCCTTCATCGTCATTGTTATCTAGAAGATGCTATAGACGGTTGACACGAATTCACCGGTGGGACTAGCATGTCTCCATAACTCAATCTTGTGGTAGGAGAGGTTGGATGATCCTTAGCCCTGCCCAAGGTATGGTACCTAAGCGACCTAGGTGGACTACATAGTAGACCTAGGTAGCTTATTGAGGTAGGCTTGGTTGGTTGTCGATGCGTGTTAGCCACATATGAAAATCCCCCCGCCTAATAAGCAGATAATCGAACCAACATGAACCCAACTGCGTACCTAACCTAGCGCTAAGTGTGTACCTAATGCACAGCACCGGTTCGGTTCCTTACGTGTCTGCGTGTCTAGTGTGTTAGGTATGCATGGCGAATTTTTTTTTTTGAATTTTTTTTTGAATTTTTTCTTTCTTTCTTTTTTTCCAAGTTTATAGAGTCTTGACTTTGAGGTATGTTAATAGGATAATATATAGACTTAATTAAATTTATAGTTCAATGTGTGTTATCGTATTGACATTGACATTGATATTGATATTAACTATATCCAATTCTAGATTGATGATTACCTATTTAGGTAGGTCCATATTGGTGTAAATGTCGTGCAATAGAGAGAACTCTCAAACAGCTAACCTTGGGTATAGCCGCTGGTGTAACCTACCTATACGTAACCTATAAACTCTATGTTCTGGAATGATTGGAAATACTTGGTATTTGAGTCTCAAGTGATAGTCATATTGAGACTAACCACATTGATGAATTGGGTTGGTAGTATTGAAAAATCTTG